ATAATTTTATATATATATATATATATATACACACACACATACAGAATAAATATTTTAAAGCTCTGTTTCATATATATGATGTAAAACTGAAAGACACAAACCTCACAGAGAAGAAAGCAGACCAGCAAAAACATGAAGAATTTCATCTCACTAATAATTAGAAAATGCAAATGAAACAGTGCAGTAGCATCAAAATAATAGCTGAAGACTTATCAAGATTTTTTGGCTGGGTTATTTACTTAAATTTAACAACAAAAGAGCTGAAAAGAAACTGACAGAACTGGGATGGTGGTGCACGCCTGTAATCCCAACACTCAGGAGGCTGAGGATCGCTGTGAGTTCGAGACCAGCCTGAGCTACATAGTGAGTTCCAGGGAAGTCTCGACTACAACTACCTAGTGAGACCCTATCTCACAAAAAAAAAAAAAAAAAAAAAGAAAAGAAAAAAAAGAAAAAGAAAAAGAAACTGACAAGTACAAATCATCACAATAGTATTTATTTTTGATCCTAAAACATCCTTTTAAAATATTCGATTATGTGAAAAATATTGAGAAAATTGGATATTTTGAAATACTTAATGTTCCAATTTGAGCAATTTCCATGACTGTATTTTTAATAAAACTGATCTTACTCAGATGTCATTCACTTTTTATTCTACAACCGTAATCCCAGAATCGATTTGTATATTGGAATGAATTAAAATATCAAATATGTATTGTTTTTATCACTAATATCTTTATTACTAAAACTACTTATTTTTATCACTCTTTTGACTGAGTGAATTTTTTGTCCAAGAAGAATTTTTAAGAAAAGTCTTGAGTAATGTACTTCTAACGAATTTTTGCAGGATGAGATTCAGGCTCTGGCCTTATAACCATCAGTTTGGCTGAGTATCACACCTAGAGTCAGTTTCGGCCTCAGGCGTTCTAGATATTACGCAGCACCACCCGCTGGCATTGCACCACCCCCTCATCCCTCGGCCCGGAATCTAAAGGCCGCCTTTTTCATTCCTCCGCTTTTCTGTCCTGTGTGAATATAATCCTCCATCGTTCCTGTTCAGCAACTCCCTCTGAGCACGTCTGAGTGTTGGTTGTCTGCCACAGGCTTCTCTGTAGCTGCAGCCTCACTGTCACCGCCTCCTTTCTAGCAGGACGCGCAGCCCCGGTGCCAACTACCGGTCCTTCTGTGAACCCACTGGCTGCCCCCATCCCGGCGGCTGGGCCCGCGCCCCAGCCTCCCCCGTGACTCCGCAGCACCCTCCTCGGGGACCCCGCGCTCACTCTGGCTAGACACAGAGGAGGAGAGCACTTTAAAGCTCCGAGAGCCTTTGGCAGTGCTGGAAGCTGGCATGAGGACAATCCCCTGAGCAATAGGAACAGTGGAACTGACACAGTTCCGAGGCTCTGATAAGGCAGATAAGTCTTTAAGGAGCACTAATCATATACGGGGGGGGGGTAAATAAAAGTGCACTGAAGCCTGAAGGTGGAAAACTGGGAAAGCCTGGACTCTTCTTCAGGATTATTAGCTAAGCTTCCATAACACAGGTAACAAGGGTACGGGTGAGTCAACTGCTCTGGTGCACCACGTTCTCCCTCGGCATGGCCAGCTCTTTATTCATTTCCACACCTATTTCCTTGTTTGCTTTCATCCCGTGACGAGATGGGAGGGAAAACTATACTTTTCCAACTACAGTGCGCCGCCAAGAGTCCCGGGAGGGGTTGAAGGTTGAGCGGGAGAGGGGAGGAGCTAGTTGTGCGCATGCTCCACCAGGGCGCGCGGGCGGGGCAACATGTATTTGCGCCTGCGCTCTGGTTCGGGCCGACTCCGCCTCTGCGGTTGTAGTTTGGCCTTGGGGACGCGGGCGGGATGGTACCCTGCTGCCAGGTAAGGGAGGGAGTGTGTTAGGGAGCGTACGTGGGTGCCTAGCTTTCCTGGATGTGCCTGGCACCCCGTCCCTCTGCAGACTTGGCCCTGGTCTGGCGGCCTTCCTCTTTCTCGCTTTCGACGCACACCCCCGACCGGCGCCTGGGTGCGGGTCGACGCCGCCCTGGTGGCCCCAGCCGCTTTGGGGACTTCGCTCCCGCCGCCGCAGGGTCCGGGCCGCTCCAGGGACTCAGGGGCCCCGGGCCCCGGGTCCAGGGCTGGCTTGTTTTTGAAGGTGCCCTGACCTTTTCAGGCTCTCTCTCAAATTACTCATTTTGACCACCATATATTTTTAATTTTCAAAATGCCTTTAAGAATTCTTGCGAACAAGTGCGCTTCACTTACAAAACCAGCATTATTTGCAGACCTGTGATTATTTCGTAGAGAGTAAGTTGTACTGAATGACAGGCGTTGTGATTCGCTTGGTCGGATCCCTCAGTTACCAGGCACAGCACAGGTTTTTTGCTAGGAAATACTAGTCTATCCACTTGGCTTTTCAACTGTCAGGTTTTGTATGTTGAGTAACTTAATCCCTGGCGACTGAGTCCAGTGTAATTGTAGACTGGCGTCAAAGATCATTGGGTAATTGTGAAAACAAGTGATTTGCTGACTTGGCTATTTATTTTGTTTTCATAATTCATCTCTCGGCACACATTTTGTTCACTGCTTAAGCTTTTCAAAAGTCGCTATAATTTTGTCAATTGAAATTAGACAGCATATTTTCTAAAGCGATGTAATTAGGATTATTGCACACTTAAATTTATAAAATTAAAAAGCTTTCAGAAATTACTTTGAATTGTTTAAAACAAAAAAATTACAGAAATCGAACTTGTAGATACATTGAAAAAAATTTTTTTAAGTCATGGATTGTACTCTGGCCCTTGTACTTGCAAGGCAGGTGGTATCACTGAGCTAAATCCCTGGCCCTTTGTTAAGTAAAGTTGTACCCGCCGCCCCCGCCACCCCCCGCCATTTTTTTTTTTTTTTTTTTTT